ACTCTGTTTTAGTCTTCAAGATATGTGACACCAAAAACTATTTCCTTAACTTTTTAAAAAGAGCATTATTTGGTGATCCAAGTCCTATATTAATATTAAAATGCAAATACACTTTATTTTTACATGTTTACGCTTCATATTTAAGCAAGGAAATAACTTTTAAAGCTCACTTTTCCCACTTGATCAATCTTACAACACAAATATTAACCATTTTTCTCCTGTAGTTAATTGATAGGAATGAAGGACCACCCATTTCTTGTTCTGCAGACAAAAGCAGAATTCCATAGTACCAGAATGCATGGGTGATGTTCTAATAGCAGCCGCAGTAATTTACCACTGCTTTTACACTAGTGTCAATGCATAAGCAGCTATGATATAAGTGAAAATCAGACCCCATTAATCCTATTTATAAAGGTCTTCTAAGGAGACAACAGCTCTCTCAATTCAAGAGGTAGTCTGCAATTGCTAAAGTGAAATGTGGTGCTTCAAAATGCAGCCTAAAGGAAGATTCTTAATGCAACAACAGTTACAATTTTAATAATGTTCCATGAAGTTAGAAAATCCACTAAAAAGAGAGAAATAAACCTGAAAGACAATTTTTACTATGTTTTTGTTTGGTTGAATTCACTCCTGTCTCATAACAAAAAAGTATATTACTGGGCAAATCTAGACAGGTTATACAAACAAGTATAAATACATCCTGTCAACTGTAAATACTTTGCATTTTAATAATTGTACTAACATTACATTTATATACCAAGAGAAATGAAGTTTACTTTATCAAGCAGTTTGATGAAAATGTCTTCCATAAACGTCTTATGCAAGATATTTGATCCATCCAACAAGCACAGAAATTTAATAGCACAAACCCGAACGTAGTGATCATCTCGATTTGTACTGCAAAATATTAATTTAAAAAAAAAAAATCAAACTCTACTTGTGCAGACATAAAGGTAATTCCTAAATTATAAAAAAAGCACCAAATGTCATCTTGAACAAGTTGTCTGTAGTGAGACAATATGCAAACACCCAGAACCAAAATTTTAAGTTATGTTCATTCTTGCTGATGAAGAAAACTAGTGAGTTCCAGATAACCTAACTCTGTTTCTATCTACGGGTCCTTAACAGCATCTAAGTGCTTAAAATAATTTGCTACAGAAATAGCTGTAAGTTGTTTTAAGTTGTTTTAAGATTACAGTTTACAAAAACTCATTCATGTTTGCAGATTTGGTCAAATATTCTAGCCCAAAACAACAGTTGATTCCTATCAGTTACTCGGGGACATCTGGAATAATTAATGCCAAGAGTAGAATTAGTGACATTACAGGTGACAAAGCATCAAACAGCTGCCAACTCTCACAACCAGACATTTGGAAACCAAGAAGCTCTTGGGAGAAAATACAGCAGTACTAAACTAGAAGTGGTAGTACACTTTCAGAAACTCAGGTTTTAGCAACTACTAACACTGCCCAAAGCACTATGTTAGACCGCTTCTCTGACTTTCTTCCACTGAGTAAAGGTGGGAGTGAAGCTACAAAAGAAGTTCAATAATCCAGTAGCCAATGTCCCTGCTTCAAAAACTGGAGGCAGAACCCACTACTAGTATGCAGGCTAAAAAGGCCTACAATCAATGTTTAAAAGCCAAGCTCCAAATCTGGCTGCATTAAAGCCTGAGTTTAACTGTTTTGTCTACAATGATAAGGTACATATCAGCACTTGGTAAAATATCTGTATCCTAAAAAGTGTTACTTTTATGAGGTGAAACAATGAGGAAGTAGTTATTTCAGTTCCATTAAAGTTAACAAATAGGATATATTTTCCTGAAAATACTTAACATTTTTCTACATTTTGTATTTGAATTATGAATGTAATGTAATGTATATCTCTTTTACCAATATTTAAGAAGGTTATGAATATACTCATAAGAAGCTGACTTCAAAACCAGCATCCTTCCTGTTGTAGCATCAATCGTAATGACATAATTCAGACCAAATATTGTACGATGTACCCTCAAAATCATTACCTTTCTGTAACAACATTTGCTGCACATTTTTCTCCAAGATTTTCTATGAAGGCATGCACATCCTGAGTAAGTCTAGACAGGTGAAAGACGACAAAGCAACAAAATTAGTAGAATAGCATACAAAAATTATTTCAATAATTATCTCAGAGTTTAAAAGAAAACAAAGTGCATAAAACCACAACAAATATAATCACAAAGATTTTTTTATACCTTTGATCTCTCCTAAATACAGTTCCAAAGACACAAGCCTCAGTGATAAGTTCACAATAATTTCCAGCATTTAAGAAAGCATTTGTTAAGGCACTTCTCTCATCGACAGTGGGATATATCCAAGATTGACAACAATGACTAAGGACTACATTGAAGACTCCAGTCTTTGTAGTAGACATATCTAGGAGCTTGAAAATTATCTGAAAAGAAGAAGAGAGTCAAAATCTAGTTTTCAGAAGTGCTAGAGTTATTAGAATGATATTGCAGTGATACCTATTTCAGTAGGTCTGATCTCCTTCTGCATCCTAGATCTGCTCAGGTTAATGCTGTCTTCAATCTACTTGCAATTCCTTGACTCTAAGGGCAGGTTAATGGGCAACAATTGGCTCAGTACACGTTTATGTTAACAAAAGATAGAACTGATCTTTGCTGAAACAGATATAACACCAGATGCTTTACATGAATCTCCTGGTAACTGAAACAAATGCACCTGGGCTTACTTCAGTGCACACAAACCTGGTGGTTTTAATCAATCCTTAGCAATTCAGAAAAAAAATTAAACATGCAACAAAATTTCTTCCGTAAGTAGCTGTATCGCTAATTCTCCTCTTTAATAAGGATTATGTTCATGTTGAAGTTAAAGTTTGTATCTGAGTTAAAGTGGAAAAATGTCCTTGTACCATTTACTTTTTTTTTTTTTGTGAAGGGCATATTTAAGATATATGAAACAGGCTATCTAGAACATCTCCAAAAAGTAGAAAAATAAAACAAGAAAAATGGCCCCAAAATTTTCCTTTCCTACTCCCTTCATGAGGCTAAGTGCAAGAGTAAACTTCAGTTACCAAGTAAATTTTTTTCTAAGAAATTGCAAGCATTTGGGAGAGGAGATTCAGAATGAATAGGTGGGGTTTTTTATAAATTCCTTTTTAGACAACATCAATTAGAGCTGTCCATGAGAACAGTTTTCCAGAAGGTGTGACAACTCTTACAAGACAAAGCTGTTTCTCTTCCCCACTCCAAAATGTTACTTCTGATAACATGACAAATCTTTGACAGTACCTCTGTTTTTATAGAGAAAGTTGTTCTGAATTGTTAAGGATTAAAGCACCAAGAGGCTCACGCAGAGCTTAAATTAAAATATTGGAATGCACTCTGAGTAAACGCTTTTTGGAAGAAAAAACAAGCCACCCTAGAAACATTTGGTCTTTGTACAAAGAATTCAAACTTTTCTTTTAGTGCAAAGACAGGCATTGTAAGTTTCCTAATAATTCCAAAATTGAACTACTGTGTTCCACCTGAAGAGAAGCAGCATGACACTTACTACACATTTCTCAAAATCCTGGAATGTTTTTCAACTGTTTCATTAATATAGCAAAAGTCCAGCACATGCAAAATAAAATTTAAGAAATTTAAGTTCTAGCACAATTAACATTTGAGTAAGTTACAAAGAAAAAGGAAAAAAGCAGTGGAAGAAATGAAGCCTAAGAACACAGTGCTCTGGGCACCTCTGCAGAAGCCCTTCTGGATTTTACCATAGCCACATTCCCTTTTTTGGCTCAAAAATACCCCTTTGTTCCACCCCTTCTAACTATTATTAAAAAAACCGAGTGTGCTGTGGTAGACAAAATTAAAATTATGCTTCTGTGACAAATCAGTATCAGGCAGTTCCGTTTTTTTCTTTCTCATTAGCTAAAACTATACAGCCATTGCACAAGGGGTCAATGGCAATAGGGACTGCCAAGGAGTGGGATAAGAATATACATAAGTAGACACTTGCTTGGGAACTTTATCTTCATTTTCTTATGAAGGGGCAGAAGGTGGCTCGACCAGATGCCCTTTGTTGAGTATAGGAGACCTCCTTAATGCCTGCTGTCATGGTATGTCCCACTGCAGACAACGGGATAGCTGTCATATAGACTCAAGACTCTCAAGCTTGGCAAAATAGACTTAATGCTTGAAATACCAACACTGAAGTTAAGACAGTAATTCTAAGAATTTAAACCAATTTTAAGATCAAAGAAAAATAAAAAACTAACTACAGCTCATCAGTTACTACCATACTGAGCATACAATTATCCATTACAGATATTCATTAAAAGAAAAACCTAGGAGATTCCTAGCACTGAAGAGATATTTTACCATCTTTGCATACATATCTTATTTTGGCTTGGGTCCACATGAAGACTACAAATGCAAAGTGTTATCTACCGTTAAAATAGATGACAGTAACGTTCATTTGATGCAAGTTCTCCAAAAGAACAAAGAAAATAAATTTTATGATACTGAAGGCTAATATGGAGATATCACAGCAATTTAAAATTGCTAGGAATTGTCCATTTTTATATATTTTATTAAAAAAATAATTTTGGAGTGTCTAGGTTGAAGATAAAGTTGAGACATTTGCTATTATTTACAGCTACAAGTGCGACATCAGGACAGAGCTACCTATGGTGACTTCAAAGCAAAACTGCAACCCCTCCTAGTAAAAATTCTGTGCTAAGTACAAAGCAGCACATGAGACCTTAAGTCTAAGCATAGTAAGCATACATATATACTGGTAAATAATTTATAACGTATTACTGCTCTGGTAAAAGTCTTGCAGTCATTGTGGACTGTTCTGCACAAACATTTAATTGATGCTAAAAAAGCAAAAAACCCAAGAAAGGTTACTTAGAAAAGAAATAGTAAACAACTTCCCAGTGTATAAAACTAAGATGAACCAACATCCCAGTACTGAATGCAGTTTTAGTGACTCAAAATGAAAAAAGAACACCATGACATACGCAAGAACTTTTGGAGTACAGGAAGCTGCATTCATCTTACAAAAAGAGTAAAAATTAATTTTTTCTCTTCTTAACTATGTAGGCAGCATTACTATGCAGTATTAAATTGAACTCTAAGGTGACTATGATTTTTATGTTTTCTACACCTGGACCCTCAGAGATAATAAAAAAAGCCTTTAAAGAAGCAGTTGGCTTATTCAATAGCAGCTATTAAAGTTTTGAACAGTTCTAGCTTTTCATTTAAGAAAGTATTTTTGTGACTAAACTATTAGAAAAAGGCATAATTTTTCCAGAATAGTAATAGTTTGTGACAGGTCAGGTGGAAAATCCTGAACTAAATAGTCAAGGAGGAAGTACATAATGTACAAATAAAATAAAGACCAAAAAAACTGTTTTGCTGAATGTGGAAGATACTGAACAGTCTGAAAAATCAAAGAAATAGTACTTTTCATTTTCTGTGTCACAAGAACCAACAACATATTTGTTTATCCTCAATCTAATTCTCAGATCTTTTGTCTTAACACTCTCAAACTAGTACCTTTTTGGAAATGAAAAATTCATTACAATAGCTGAAGGGAAAATAAAATTAAAATAGATTTTTAGATCCAGATAAAATTTATGTTCACTTCCCAAAAAATAATTTGTAAACTGACCTCTTTTATTTTGGCATATGCTTGACGCTTTGCACTTGCAGCAACAGCTAGAACCTCAGTATCAAAGACGAACTGAACAAAAGCTTTTAGATTGGACCAGAATATTAGCTGCGTGTTGCTCAAAGAGGATACAATTTTCCAAGCCAAATCAAATGCTTCAATGCAGAGTGACTCTGCTGAGTCCAGAAGCTGAAAACAAAGAGCAGAAAGTGTTAGGTTTCACAAAAAACCAAACAACCAAACAAACAAAACCAACCACCACCCAGAACTATTAATATCGTGCAGTTGTTTTATCTTTTACCTTGGGAACAAGGACTTTCATGCAGTCAAACACAGGTAAAACTTGGTCTGAAGGAAGAATAGTTAGGGCTTCTAATGCAGACTCTAGAGTTTTTCTTGACCTTTCAACTGTAGATAATGACATTTCTGAAGTTTCTTCATACTCTTGACCCAGTGTTGGAAATGAATTTAAAATGAAACGAAGGCAAATCCACTGGTCATGAACATAGCGTGCAACAATTCTCCCCCATCCTTGAGATGCTGTTTCTTCGCATAAGCTGAAAGGAGAATATTACTCTTAAATATATATTGTATTAATTTATCCTGCACATTCCTACTCCGCCAGGAACAGCTTAACTAAACAAACTCACTATACTTCTTCAAGACACTAAAATTTACACAGGTTCAAAGGGAGACTGGGCAAGTTCATAGAACAGAAATCTACAAATAAAGGTTTTTTTAAACACAGAAAAATCAGTTCTGGGCTCAGACTCATTAGTCATAAAAATCTGGGAGAGTATTCAACAGAAACATCACTATATGGCTGTCTGTCTTTTTTTGTTAACCAAGTTTTTGGCCTTCAGGCTTGCTCTGGACTTCCCTTCCACAACAGTAAATAATTTCCATTTAAACTGGCTTGTGTACATGCTATGGCTTTGTGCAGTGTCTATAATTTAAGCTGGCATAAGGATAAGCAATCTTCAAAGCTAGCTCTGGCTTCATAGCACTAGAAGACTGAGCAAAAGAACCTTTAGTCTGATCAATTATAGCTGCTTTAATGTCCTAAAAACTTGAATGTTAAGACAAAAGAGCAACTGAATGAATAGTTTGTGTTCAGAATTCTTCACTTTTCTCGGCAAAAAATTATCAAAGAAAGAACAGGACAAGCCAGCATCTTAATCACTGCTCCATGCTAATCAAATTTATTCTGGAGAATTACTGAAGCTATAGCACAAACATACCTACTTTTTTCTTCAATGTAAGATGGCTTCTTTAATACTTCATTGAATTGAGAAAAGCAAATAAATCTCTTCAGAGCATCCACAGAAGGCAGACATTCAAGGTGCACTTCAGGCTTCCGATCCATTATCTCACAAACTGCTGTAAGTGAAGCCATGCTAACTACTTTTTTAATTTGTTCTTTAAGCTTCGGCTCCTAGTTAAAACAAAATCGTACATGAACAAATATGCACTGATTTCTTCTAATACGATACCAATAACCTACTGATACATTTGATAATCCTCCTATTTGTATCACCTCAGACATCATAAGGTAGCAACTCTGCATCCTTCTACTTCCTTATTTTCTTAGCCTATGCATAACATAGCTTTGCTTGGCTGGGTCAGTGCAGTCAATCCCAAGTTGCAAGCATCGAAAAGAGTATAAATCTTGCACATTACAGTCACTTATTCATTAAGTGTCTAGCTCAACTATGATAGAACACTTCTATCTTGCCAGACAGCAGTTTATATATATATATTGCTGGATAGCAATTAGAAAAAAAGATGTCGGTCCACGTAGTCAGAAACCCAGTGCAACAAGACAGCTTAAATTCAGAATACCACATGCTAACTGCTCCAAGAAGCTAAAAGGTCACAACACCTACTATAGTTACTTTGTGTGATAAACGCATATATTTAAAGAAGCATGAAATAAAAAGTCTCAATAAAAAAAGTCAATAAGCATATAGTTCCCTATGAGTATTAAAAGCTCATAGTTAATTCAAGTTACTTTCCACTGTCTAGAGCACAGAAAAGATTTTTCTTGTCCATAATTACTCAGTGTTTTCTTTTTTCTTCTTAAACTGAAGAGGTACTATATGTGCAACTGAAGAAATCATCGTGACAATGTAATTCCACTGAATTCAAAAGAAGGTGGTAGAGGCCCCCACTGAACACCAAGTCTGAACCATAAAATGTTTACTTTGAAACTACTGCAACAAGTACGTAATTCACATAACCAAAGGAAAAACATTGTCTTGTTCTTTGTTTCCTCAGAAAAGTAAACCTAGCAAATTAAATACTTACAATCTTTTAATGTGTTATTAGCCGTTCTTGATCAGTAATTCAACCCAGAAAATACCAAAGACTATACTGCCCAACAAATCTTAATTTAAATGTCCTCCTTGTATAGGAGTTATTAATGTTTCTTTACCTTTGAAAATGTATCTACCTCAGATATACTACGTACAACTATGGGACAATGAACATAACTATGTGAAAAAGCCAAAGCAATGCTGGGCTCTGGAATTTCTTTTTCTCTATATGTTCCAGCTTGGAAATTCAACAGATCATTAATACAAAAGGTATTTTCATTTAACAGTAACTTCCTCAGTAAGCTTGGTTCATACTTGAGGAAAAAGCTTTTGAGTACACATAGTCCATGATTACAACTGAAGTTTTACTTTAGCTATATAGACTATTAAAAAATGTAGTATAAGAAAACAAAAGTACTAAAAATCTTAGCTACAAATATATTAAAATTACACTGCCAACTAAAGACACATATGTGTTAGGGAATATATATACACATACATATTCACACAAACTTGGTTTTTTATTATTATATAATACATTGCGTGTATTTATAAAATCATAGAATCGTTTAGGTTGGAAAAGACCTT